AAATGTCACACCTAAAATAGAAGCACAGCATGATAACATAGAATACACTATCATATATAAAATACTATTTAAAAAAGCAAAAAAAACAAAAAGAGATTGATAGCAGCAGAGGACAAAAAGCCAAAGACACACAGTAAAAATAAGTGTCAAGAATACATTACTAATCCTGACAGTACTGATTTGTCAATAACCAATTTTTAACATGAAACTGAAGAGCAATAAATAAGTGATCTTCTAATTGTTGGTGTAATGTTCGATTCCCTTGCAGCTTTTACTGAAAATACCGACTGACTGAATTTACTATTAATGAGAGGAATAATACAATCCCCTCTTTCACCACTCCTAGTAGTTCGTTGAGCACTTATTCTAACTTTCACAAACTGATTTAGTGGTGAAGTCGAGTTATGTAAAGTCTTAAACATTAAACAAACGTACATTCATTCATTCATTTTCTTTTCGGCTTAGTCCCTTTAATAATCTGGGTTCGCCAAAGCGGAATGAACCGCCAACTTATCCAGCACGTTTTTACGCATGGATGCCCTTCCAGCCGCAACCCATCTCTGGGAAAACAAACGTACATATTTAATTACATTTTTCCAACTAAATAGGTTGTATTTCTTTAATATTGAACTGAATTCTTATCAAGGGATTTCTTTTAAGGATTGTTTGTACAATGATTCAAGTGTTCAATAGAATAGAGAAAGTTAAACAGGTTTGGAACAACTGAAGGGTGAGTCAATAGAGACAGAATTTAATTTTTTGAGCAAACTACCCCTTTAAAGGGTACCTATGATGAAAACCATCTTTTGTGAGCTGTTTGGACAGAAGTGTGTCTAGAGTCATATTTGAGTGATATAAGGACAATAAGCCTCTTTTTTTTTTTTTTTTTAATTCCCTGACGTTAAAATAGGATCCAAATCCCTCCCATTGTGACGTGACGTAAGAGTGCGGTTTCCCCACCCAGCAATTTGATTGAGAGCCGCGTATTAACATGTAGCAAAGCATATAATTATATCTACAAGACAGGACTTGCACAAAGCAACTGGGATTAAAAGATCTGTTCAGCTCTCTGTGATCATCAATCATCATCAAATGTGATCAAGCATTAGTTTTACAAGTTTAAAATGTTTTTAAAACAGTGCATGTTTGTAATAAATTACAGCAATTTTACCGTCTTTACTTCTTCACCAAAGCCACACGTCAGTACAATTCTTAAAAAAGACACTTCAATCCCGGTTTGTGGATGTTAAATCAGGTTTATTTTGTACATTAACATACCGGATATCCATACAGCTGTGGATATTAACGTGTATCTTGTCACATTTGCCATGCAAAAACAGCACAAAGTTAAACGTGCATGATGTGTGTGTGCATGAACTTTGTAACGACCTTGTGTGTGACTCATCGCTGCAACTCCACAACAAATATATCAAATGATCATTGGGAAAGTTCTTGCTGTAGTATGTCTCTCAAACGTTAAACGTGAAATCTGCTTTCTTCATGTCTGTCACTGTGCTGTTAATCTGACACAGCAGAGGCGGAGATTGAGGCACACTCTGACAGGCAAGTGGGAACAGTGGGCGGGGAGAACTAGCATTAAAGCCACAGGCCACAAAAACAGCTACATTGTGTTCAGAGCAGAAAATCCAACATTCTGAAAGCTATAATAAATAATCTGATTGGAGTTTTGAGCTGAAACTTTACAAACACATTCTGGAGACACAAAAGACTTATTTAAAATCTTAAAAAAGGGGTAAAACAGGTGCCTTTTAAGAAACTTTTGGAATGGAAAGATTCAATGGATGTTCTAAATGGATCATCAATGCAATCCTAATGTTTTTTTAAGGTGCATCCTTTATTATTACTTTTTTTTAGGTATTTGCAGGAAATTCAGATAACGATGGTACCAAGACAAACATGTTTGACCCTCCCATTGTGGCCCAGTTTATTCGCATCATTCCTGTTGTCTGCCGTAAAGCCTGTACTTTGCGGATGGAGCTTGTGGGCTGTGAGCTCAATGGTAATTGCAGTTTAATTATCCTTGAATCACTATTTTACAATTTCTTGTTTACTTAGCCTCTCATTTTCCCTAATATAACAGTTCACTCCAGCACAGTCGGCTGCACTGATCCACTGGGCATGAAATCCCGACTCATCTCTGATGTTCAGCTCACAGCATCTAGTACTTTCCGCACCTGGGGTATAGATGCTTTTACCTGGTACCCTTTCTACGCTCGTCTGGACAAGCAAGGCAAAACTAATGCATGGTCAGCAGCTAACAACAACCGCTCTGAGTGGCTCCAGGTCCGACTGTGAAGTGTCATGACTAGTTTTGTAATTCTTTCTGCAGTTTTTTTCCTGTCTTACAGTGCTCAGCATATATAAAAGTACACCCCTCAAAAATCTCTCTTTTAAATTCACATTTTTTTTTATTAGGAAGCTATACAATATTATATTTGTGCATATACATAAGATTATCCAGTATTGAAGCCAAATATGGAGCTTATCTAACAAAATAACTTACGATAACGGCCAAAAAACTAGTACAGCCAAATTTATGTCATAGATAAATATTAAATACACATTTTTAAAAAAATGAAGAATTTAGTCGAAATTTTGTAAGTTGTAATTTATTTTTGCAATATTTTGCTTGATTTTAATAGTATTATCTTTTCATTTTCTTGTTTGGTGAGTAAAATATTATTTTAATAAATATATCTGTTTAATAAATATGTTTTGTTTAAATGCACCAAAATATATTGCCTATATTTATTGAGAAATGGATACAAATACTCATTTTTAAAATGAGGTGTACTCAATTATGCTAAACATTGTAACAAATAGTTCTGTGATGGATTAATACCTTGAAAATGTAGTAATTGTGTTGCTATAAAACTTTCATCATGAGTTAATTTAGTATTGTAACCAAAAAGTAAGTAACCAAACCTGTTGGTTTTTTTTTAGCTTTAACATCAATGATTTTGCAAGTAATTGAATATCATGTTTATTGTGTTTTCTTTTGTGTTGCAGCTGGATTTGGAGAAACCTGTAAGGGTCACAGGCATCATCACTCAGGGAGCAAAAGACTTTGGAGTTGTGCAGTTTGTTTCGGCCTTTAAGATCGCTTACAGTGATGATGGAAAGTCCTGGAGCATTGTGAAGGATCAAGTAACAAAAACAGATAAGGTTAGAGCAATGACGTTATCTTTATTCAATAAATAAATAGATTAGATTACATTAATTAAAACTGTGTTTGAAGAATATGGAATACTAGATTTAGAACTAGCTAGAATATATTTGCTTATTAACATCGTAAAGATGAATGACTCTGTCACCGTAAGTAATATGAATTCAATATCAATATTAATTAAATGTTAATAACTTATTACATATTCAGAAAGGGAAAGGTGACCTAAAAATGAAAATTTAGTCATCTTTTACTCACCATTTACTTGTTTCAAACCTTTATGAGTTTTTTATGTTAAACACAAGAGAAGACATTTTGAAGATAGCTGAAAACCTGTAACCATTGACTTGCAACATCTGATCGTCAGTTCAAGCAGATGCAAGCTCTATTTAATACATTTCATTAGCTAAATATATTTGTAAAAACTGTAAGAACAACAACAAAAAGGCATGCACAGGATGAGCCCTACAATACATGCCTGATACTCATGTCACCTTACTTACTGAAATTAGTTTTGTTTTTATTCCTTGCAGATTTTCCAAGGCAACACTGACAACAACACGCACAAAAAGAACTTGTTCGAGCCTCCGTTCTATGCCCGTTATGTACGCATTCTGCCATGGGAGTGGCACGAGCGGATCACCCTGCGCATGGAGCTGCTGGGCTGTGATGATTAGTCAACATGACACTCTTATTCACTATCTGAAGTGTGTCTGCTGGGTGATTTTCCATTTACATTAGCCTCCGTTCTATTGCTCTGTATGTTCTTGTACTGATGCAATTACTTGAAGGGCTCAGTTGATCTAATTTTGAAAGCCTTTGGCCACAGCGGTGAGTTTCTGAAATGACGTTTTAAGTACATTTCTGAGTATTTTACAGAATTGAAAGAAAACACAATGAGACTAATTTTAATGTTTTACTAAAATCTTTAATCTTATAAACACTATTTCGAAATGTACACACTCGTTAATTTCTTTTAGTGTTATTGCTTATCCTTCGTCACTAAGGTGAGTAAAAACCTTCAAGTGTTACATTTTGCAGCCCATTAGTGCTGATGTTCATCAGTTTACCTTATTTTGCCTTTCAGCACATGTACAGGATTGATTTGTAACGGAAAGTTCAACTTGTAATTCTGAGTTTCTGCTTTTTGTACGCACAGCTTGAATCAGATCTGTCAGAAACCGTGCTGTAAATCAGAATTGAATTGAAAACTTTTATAATCAATGAGCTTGTTGAGAAAGCTGCTCCAATCAATTGACCTGTTTGCACTGCCATTGGTATACACTTTTATAACGCATTTTATAAATTTGGCCAACGTAAACAACCGAATTAAAAAAAGAAATGTACAGTTGTCCAAGTATGAAGCATTTTTGTCTTTTGTAAAACATTTGTCTTTAACTGTGTTAATAAACATGTCGAATCTTATCTATGTGCTTCTTAGTGCACATGTCTCAAACTGAAGAAGACATTCAGAAGTGTGAGTGTAGGTGAATAGTTTTATAAGTTCATCAAAATATTAATAAATAGGAAGCACAACTTCAGTAAAAATCCTTAGCATGGGATTACATTCTTTAGCCCAAAGTCATAGGGTGCATTACTAGCCAAAGTTTATCACTAAGTAATCTATGACTTCTATGTTTATTTAATTTTAGACTTTTAAAGTAAATTAAATTAATTTTATAAATTATTTTAAAAATATATTATTAATTATGTTCAAATATTAGGTCCTGTTATAGTAGTACTTGGATGATTTTGCAATGGTTGTATTTAAAAAGTATATATATTTATAAGACAAGTCACTGCAGATCCAAAATAAGTGATTTGTAAATATGTATTTATTTTTATTCTGACGTGTCACGAACCACCAGAGTATCTGTCATTCTTTGAAGCCACCAGCAGATGGCAGCCCGTTTTTGCGCATGTCAGGCTCTTCCAAGGCTCGCTAGGCGACGTGGGAGAAACAGGTAGAGCATCAGCAGTTTCCTGAAAGAGTCCATTCATCCACGGAGAAATTCGTTCCTTCCACTCCACCCAATTAACAAACATTATCATCTGTTTTAATATACATTTCTGAGTCTGCACTGGCTGAGGTAAAAACCGTTTTCTTTCCATTACCTGTACACTATGAATAACCTCTCTTGAGTCGTAATTGCCCTTCATTGCCGACGAACTGCTGGCAAAACACAAACCAATAATGTTTATGGAATGTTTTAATAGAAAGGCGTTGCATTTGCTGTGTTACAGTTTCTGAAACACTTTAAATCAACCTTAGAGATTGCTAGAAATGTTCTGACTGACTGATTTACCATGTTTTTACAGTTGAATTAATGTCCATTAAGCTCATAAACTTTTGATTGATCTTCTATGTGAAAGAGTAATCAGCTCGAAATGTAGGCTATAGGGAAAAATGCGTTTCAAGGAATGTTTGTGCATTTTCTGCAGTTCGTGCTTCATTCGTCGTTTCAGCTGTATCAGATGAAAATAAAGCTATGCTGTATAAAAGAACTGAGATAGAAGAGGCACAGCCTCTGGTCTCATCACAGAAACAAGCAACATATTCACAAGGCACCTGTCATTAACAGTTCTATCTGACCTATTATTAAAAAATTAAAGCTCTTAGCTGATTAAGGGTCATTTCTTTTGCCCCATGTAGTACTATGCCCTGCACAGTCTTATGCAACAAATAGCATCTAGCAATCAAGTAGATTTTCACGGTTAGGCTTAACCTACATTCATAATTTGACTGGATTTGACCACCTCTTTCTGATTTTAAGTACATATGGCTTCTGTGAGGAAAAAAAGATGGACATGTCCGGACAAATATTAATGTACTGTGTGTTATCTTGAGAGAAATCAATACATAGATCCCATTTCACATTATTTTGTCTGAACTCAGGCATAACAAATTAATGACATCCTTGTGCCGCTTGTCTTTGTAATCTTTCTGGTTTGGTTTCCAAAATAAATACGATTTATGGCTATGACTGCTTTTTTAGGTTCATAACTTCTCTTCATTATCTACAGATGAAAATAATACTTCACATTTCATCACAATTACGTTGTGCATTCACCTAAAATTAGCGTACTAGCAGAGAAAGTGTTTGTGTTCTTCAAAGAGGGGCCTTTTAAAATGAAACCCTAACTGGGCCAGAACGAAAAGATTCTGCAAATATTCACAGATCTCTTTAAAGATGATGTTAGTCTTAGTTCCTTTGGTGTTTGATGTTTTTCATCTGGAATGGGATGGATTAATCCATCTTAAAGACATCTGCAATATACAGAAATTATCTTGAAAAACACTTTATAATCAGATGTGTTGGCTTCTTGTTCAGTGTCTTGAAAAATAAATATAAATCTTATTTTAATGTTAAAAGTGAATCTCTAGCTTGTCACGTCTCCTTAGAGTTGTTTCTCCAATGCTGTTCTAGCTTTATGAGAGTGATGAACAGATTTGTCGTGAAGTCCAAATTTGACCTCTGTAAAAAGAAACGAGAAACACTTTTGTCAGTACTTTTGAAGAAAAATAATAATGTAGTTTAAATACAAGTACGTATGCAAAGGAGATAACTGTTAGTAAAGGATAGTGCTAAAATATATGATCTATGAGCAATTCCAGCGTTATAGATGTGACTTTTCCAGTAAAAACTCAAAACATAAATTCGCAGAGAAAGCACATGCTAACATTATACAGAAACTTCTGTTCATATTTTCCAGAACAACTGACCACAGAGTTATGGGACCAGAAAAATATAAATCTGTAAACATGTTTTGGACTTTAAATGAGGGAAATAATCATGCATTATGGAAGTGACCAAACACGTCTGCGAGTTTGCAGTATACAACATACTTTGTCGAAATTCTGTGATTTAAATTGCATAATGCAAAAGAAAGAATGCAAATCAAAAGGAGAAGAGTTGGTTGACTACAGAACAACCATGATTGATTTTATTTTATATTTTTGCATTTATGAGGAAAAAGTGCCGTAATGGATGTGACATCTCTCCGTTATGGATGTGACAGATGTGAAATTGCCACTTGTGTCACTTTGGTTAATCAAATATAATAGTTTGAAAACATTGACATATGCATTTTTGAGTATTTCTAAAGTATTGTAATATACTCGATTACACCGAAAACTTAGAAACGGTTTCCGTATTTTGGTGAAATTTTTTTTTTTTCATGGCAAGGTTGACATTTGCATGGAATTGCTTATATCAATAATTATCGTTAATCACATAAACAAGTACACACACACAAACCACAATAAAACATTATTTAAGATTTTCAAACAACTGCAGATTTGTTTTTTGATAATACATGGGCATCTTACTGGGTATGCATTGAACTTTTGGCTTCTCCCACTGTCCGTCTGCCATGCAGCGGATCACAGGTGGGTGGCGCTGTGTAAAGTTTTCACTGCACTGGTATCTGATAATAGAATTAACCTGGTAACGCTCTTTCTTGTTTCCAAACATTTTGGCATTCTCCACTTTCGGAGGTTTATCACATGTCACTGGAAAACAGGATGTCAAATTCAAACCCAATCACTTGCTAGATTCATATGTTCTCTTGTGTTTGGTGGTCTGCCTACCTGGACCTGATTTGCATGTAAAAGGCAGATGGTAGTTGCAGGGCACGTCATTCCACTGGCCATTTTCATGCCAGATCATCACAACGCAATCCTCTTCAGAGTTGAAATAATTGTCAGGCTGGTTTGGTCTCCAGTTCTCAAATTGCTAAGCAGATCAAGAAAAAAATCATGAAAAAATATCATTAGAAATACAAATTACCCAGCTAACAATTTTGGTTCCCACAACATTTACAGAATATTCTCTGTTGGTTATTACATAAGGGATAATGTACAACCAGCCAGTTGTTTTTTACAGAATGAGGTCTGACAGACGGAAAAGCTTTATTCTACAGCAACTGACTAGATGTACATTATCTTGTTAGTACATGGCTGCTTGCCACAAAACTATACAATCAGACACAAAACATTAATCTAAGCTGTAATAATTTACCAGCTCTTTACCTAAACGTTAAGCTTGCAGAAAGAAAAACAAATTCTTAGCAAATGGCTGGATGCAGCCTTCACACACTATTATTTTTACTATTATTCAATCGTAAGATGATAATAAAATGTCAAGAACAGCAGTATGACAGATAAGGGAGCCTATGTTATGAGAAAATAAAATGCCTTACAGCAGGGCTGCCCAATACTGTTACTGGAAATCTACCTTCCTGCAGAGTTCAGCTTCAACCCTGATCAAAAACAACTAAACCATCTGACTCCTTCACTCCACTTGGTAATTAAAGACAGGTGCATTTGACAACGATTGCAGCTGAACTCTGAACTACCTACCCCCCAACCCCTCTCACAACCCCCCCCCCCCCCCCCCAAACCCCCCTAAGAGCCACAGGTACCATCCAATCCTTAGTAGACTTAACAGCGACTTTGTAGTTGTCTGTTGCTCTGGGTGGCAACCTGCTGCAAACACAGCAGGACGGAGGACGCAGCATGGAGAATACAACCGGTCTCTGAGTGAGCTTAGAGTGGATCACGTGAGCTCTACTGGTGCTCCTATTGCCTGTCGCTCAAGAAAGTCGCTCTTCATTTGGATAAAGCTGAAGGATTCTCAACTTTGTTGCTTCACTCGACATGTTCACCTGGTCGTCAATGGTCGCTGTCACTTGTGTAGATGGAGGTCGTCGAAAGTCGCTCAATCTCTGTTAAAATAAATGGTCGCTTGTTGTTTTGCCGATGCGAGTCGTCAGTAGTGTGAATGAAGCTTTAACAAAGAGAGCTCTCCCAAGAGATTTAAAGTTGTTTTCAGGATGTCAGTGGCTCAGTTTGATAATGGAGTCATGGTGTTCTGCAATTACCTGCCATCTGTCTTTACAGTACTAATTTTTGCATTCCGCATAACCATGGGTTATTTCCATGGCCTTTACTGCCCATAAGCATAGGAGGCTGAGAAAAAAAAGCTAATTTTAGGAGAAAGTTTCAGAATGCACTTAGACTGTACTTGGAGAGTCTGAGTTGCTCATGTGTTCAGTAGCATGTCAACATATTTGATGAAATTTCAGACTCATTCATTTTCTTTTTGGCTTAGTCCCTTTATTAAGGCTTAGTCCCTTTATTAATCTGGGTTTGCCACAGCGGAATGAACCGCTAACTTATCCAGCATATGTTTTACGCAGCAGATGCCCTTTTAGCCGCAACCCATCACTGGGAAACAATCAAACACTCTCCTTCACACACATACACTATGAAAAATTTAGCTTACCCAATTCTCCTGTACCGCATATCTTTGGACTTTAGGGGAAACCGAAGCACCCGGAGGAAACCCACACAAATGCAGGGAGAACATGCAAACTCCACACAGAAACGGCAACTGAGCCAGTCGAGGCTCGAACCAGCGACCTTCTTGCTGTGAGGTGACAGCACTACCTACTGCGCCACTGCGTCGCCTCAATTTCAGACTAAGTGTGCAATTTAGTTAGGAGAATGTTCCCAGAATGTACTCATTTATGTTGTCTAAGAAAACTTTTTGCAACTTTCTGGAATGTTGAACTAAAAGTTTAGATTTGGCTACAAAAAAAAAACCTTTCCTAGAATGCTCTTAATTGGTTACCAAAATAACCAAATGGGTACCAAACAGTACATTTTCAGTATTTTAAGAGTCAGGCTTACCAGCTGGGTTCCATCTGACCAGCGGAAGTCATTTTCCACTGTTTTATCATTTAGTCCAATCCACTGATAGTCTTGTGCATTTGCTGTTAAAAGAAGCGAGTTGTTACTTATATTCAGAAAGGTAACACTGATGGAAGCATACATATACACAGGTGCACTGCACTTACAGTTGACGAAGGCTTGCTCCTCTGGAGTGTTAATGCTCACCAGGTGAGCATTTAAGTCTCGACAGCGTTGCTCAGCATCCAGCCAGGTCTCTCTCTTCGAGAAATGTAAATAACAGTTGCCCTGAAACTTAGTCCAGCCCTTCTCACAGCTGTGTGAATCTGAAGCAACATCGCATGGCATACAAAAGTTAGTCTACCCAGAAATGTCAAATCTGTCATTCAGTCTGTCTTTTAAACCTGTGAGACTTCACTCATGCTCGCAACACAAATTAAATTAAAACCTGACTTCTGTTCCACAATTTAAGTTATTCCACCAAAACTTAAGTTAATTCCACCAAAACTTTAAAAGACATTCATAAAGACCCAGTTCACACTGCACTGGCAGCCACAGACAGACAGCCAGACATTTTGCTGGAATGGTGTGTTGCCCTGTCGGTGTCTGCTGGCATCCCTCAGAGCTTGTTTTTGCAGATTCAACAAGCTGAATTAGCACTTTTCTGGTCAAGAAGTGAAGTGCTGTAATCTGGTGATTGTCTGTGTTTGCCTAGATCTCTAGGTGCAAGTATAAATGTTGAATCAATTATCAACATCACAGATGTTTCAATAAGTAAATGCTTCAAAATGCATACTAACAAAATTATTGTTCCAGTTCAGTTCTCTATTACAGTCTAGTTCTCAATTGCAGATCTGTGAGCACGTTACAAATGGAATGGATTTTTGTATTATTTTGAAGCCTCAAACTTTTGGTGAAATAGTCTTTTTAGAAATTGCTCAGGTTTTATTTAAAATGTTAATTTGTGTTTTGAAGATGGAAATGATAACAGGATTTTCATCACTGGGTGAACATATTACTTACTGGACCAAATACTTCCATGCAAACTTAAAATAAACGACAGACTCTTAAAACAGAATGTAGAGGGGTAGAGATGAAAATATTCCCCTAAGAGACGAGACACCACTACTATTCCCGCACACGTCATGATAAGTCGTCACTAGCTCATACATCACATGAGATAGTCATCTGCGGTAGTCATTCCAGAAGATGCAAGCACAGTAACATTTAACAGATTACTCGCCGGTGTTGTGCTGTATTTTCATACAGGCTTTACAGAGTTGTAGTTTCTTGCTACATTTAATGGTATCTGTACAACTGCAACTGGAATGACCCCACACACACTTCCCCAAAAAAACATCAAAGTTTCCCACCACCCACACAAATATACCCTTACAGTTTCACTGAATTCACCACAGTGACATCTAGAGGATGTTTTTGAAAGACTGTTAGTAGAATTAGCGGAAGCAGCCTCATACCAGTCTCACACCGGTCTCCTTCGTAGCTGGGCAGACATAAGCATTTGAAAGTGTCCTCTACCTCCACACAGGTGGCTCCATTGGCGCAAGGGTTTGAATGGCATACATCAACCTCTGCAAATAAAGGTTTAGCAATTAAAGCTGCCAACTATAAAGATGCCCCGAGGAAGGTCAAGCTTAGCAGAGAGCATCATTGAATCAGAACTCTTGCTTCTACACCGTAAGCCAATCTCTTGAGTAATTATACCATCAATATTTTGAAAGGCTGAGGAGAGTCACGCTCAGGAAATTGTGGTACATTGATAGAGAGATTAGAGTCAATTGTGGTTACTGTAGAAGTGCTGATCTGGCATCAGTTTGAAAGCCTCTTAAGAGGTGCAGATCAGCACTCACACAGTACCAGAAGCAGAATTTCAGAGTTCAGATTCATGTGAAGATAGACAAGAAGTATGAGCATGTACCAGATGTTAGCAGGCGTGCTGATTAAACCAGACTGCAGCAAAGGCACAGCTGAACAAAAACAACACAGGTGAACAGTCACTGAAAAGACATCTGGACACAAGAGCTGAGAAAGTGTACAATTACTTAACCACACACATGCCACATAACCTGTGAAATCAGCTGTGAGGGCATAGGCATGAGCAAACTGAACAGAAGTGAAGTTATTCACAAATGAAATGCCAACCAAGAGACATTGAGATAACAATTTGATTAGATTTACCACAAATATCAGACTATAAAACAATTAATAAAAAAAAAAAACTATAAAAATTAGCATAATTGATGTGACTTTATAAATCTCTTTGATATAACTTATGTTTTAAATCAGTCCGACTCACCAAACTGGCACTCTTCTCCATGCAGTCCAGGTGGGCAGTGACAAAGTCCCACTCCATCCTTCACTGAACACACACCAGCTCCACAAGGGTTTGGTTCACATGGGTTAAGATAATCTATTATGGTAGTTTAGGTAAAAAGAAAATAGAACATAAAAATGATATAGTAAAGAGGCCATACATCTCAATTATATAATATGCAATAGAAAACTCACCATTCACAGCAGGTCGTTCTACGACAGCAGGCCTCTGTAAAGAGGCAGTTTCTGTAGTAGAAGACAAAGCTGCCAAAGGAACAGCGTCAAGATTGTTGATGATCTCTTCTGGTTTTAAATAAGGACCTAGGTGTCCTGCAGTATCACTGTACAGGTCTGATGGACCTTGATCAAATAATTCAGCTGGGGGAGGATCAGTGGATTTTACAGATGGTGTATTAGCAGTGACTGGGATCCATTCATGCCCGCTTATAAAGACACTTTGGTCATCTCCACTCCCTGAGGACAGTCTGACTGTGCCACTATATTCCACTTCCCCTCTTCCTAATTCCATTCCTTGAAGTGGCTTGTTTGACATTTCCACCATGTCATTATTGCTGAAGAAGATGACATCACTACTAGCCGAGTCCCCTGATCGTTCCCCTGATTCAATTGCATAGCCTCCAGATCTAAATCCACTTCCCTCACCAGACCCAAAGAACACAAGTCCAGAAGCTTCCTGTTCACGAGATTGTTCTGTGAGATCAGTGAAGCCTGACCCCAAAAATGTCACCCCAGAAAATGCTAAACCACTCCCTGAGCCACTGTGGTCACTGCTACTCATACCAGAGAGATCACCACTCATTCCTGTAATATCACCACTTATTCCTGAGATATCACCACTCATTCCTGAGATATCACCACTCATTCCTGAAATGTCACTACTTATACCTGAACTATCACCACTCGATCCAGAGATTTCACCACTTAAGCCAGAGATATCACCACTCACCCCAGACCCTGAGAAAAGTCCTGATCCACTGAAATCGACTTGACCACTACCCAGCTCTTGTTCTGTTAAAAATGAAGATATCTTCATCCACGGCCTGTCCACCATGATGATTCCACTGCCATCAATGAATGAAATGTCACTGGATCCACCAGAGGGAAAAATACCTGATGCAAAACCACTGAATCCTGAGGACTCCTCACTGAACCCTGATCCTGAGGAGATGCCAGAAAGATCTCCACTCTCACCACTCTCTCCTGAGCTGCTGGAAAGGTCTGAGGTAGATCCACTTTCTTCAGAGCTGTACCCTGACCCACTGCCTAATCCCGATCCAGATCCAGAGATTTGATCTAATTGGAATGTAAGAATCTCAGTGCTTCCCTCCCCAGCCTCCTCAAGTTGCCCTGAAGTTGATCCAACTCCTGAAAAAACTGTGTCAATCCCTGAAAAAGTCACTAAGATATCTAAACCACTACCAGATCCTGAAGAGCTTCCAGAACCACTTGACATATCCCCACTTCCACTGGCCCCAGAGAAGTCTCCGCTTGACACAAATGACCCACTTGGCTGTTCCCCACTCCCACTGCCCAACAAATCATCAGTCCCACTGGCTCCAGAGAAGTCTCCACTGGAACTGAATGACCCACTCGACCGATCGCCACTGCCACTACTGAACAGACTGTCTGTGCCACTGGCTCCAGAATAGTCTCCACTTGTAACAGATGAGCCACTTCCACTCTGATCCCCGCTCCCACTTGTCAAAAGATCATCAGTGCTACTTGTCCCGGAGGAGTCACCACTTGAAACGGATGACCCACTTGGCTGATCCCCACTGCCACTGCTCAACAGATCGCCAGAACTGCTGGCCACAGATTCCTCAGTTCCAGAAGGTTCTGTAGGACTGGGAGCAATGATAGGGGTACCTTCTGAGCAAACAGATTTACAGAATCGTAAGGAACATCACAAAAAAATGTAGACTCGTGTATAATAAGCTGATAAAATGAAACATGAGTCAGTGACATGAATAGTTTTTGTCTCATTTATTAATTTAATAAAAATTATTTAAATTAAATACATTTTATACCATGGCTTAAATGGTAGCTGTTGACACTTTACAATACATCTGCACTAATGTATATGAATTCATGCTTCTATTGTGCATACTGTATCTTGTAGTTAATGTATGACTGTCATGGATTCACCTTAGTTAACTTCCTCATGATCTACATTATCCAGCATCCCTCACATCTGAAATGGGAACCATTACTCAATCTTGTTGCCAGATGTTGGTTGATGAAAACATAAGATGTATATCAATCAGCTCCCATTGGTCTTGAGCATGTTATTTGAAAGATTTCAGTCCAGAACAATTTTGAATTTCAATGAGTGTAATCTACTAACAACACAGGCACAAAATGGGTAGCATTGGGCAACAGTAGCTTTTTAACACTGGTCCTATTTGTTTAAAAGTTGTTTTGGCTCATTAATAGCAATCTATTCGTGACTTAAACTGTAACTGAGTGGTTTAATTCTTCCTGACTCATACATCAACTCATGATTATTTGTGCATTTGATAAACATGATGTTTAATGCATATTAGTGCACACGTATTATAAAGTGTTAGAGAATTGATGACCCAAAAATGAAACTTTTACCATTATTTACTCACTCTTATGTTGTTCAAAGCATGTATGACTTTCTTTCCTCTGTGAAAATACTGTATTATATTTTATATTTCACAGAAGATATCCATAATGGGAAATGAGCAACATGAGGGTGAATAATTCATGACGTTTTTCTTTCATGTGTGAATAATCCTTTCTTTTGACATTTGATTTTTAAACTTTGGATTAGTCAGATTATTTCACTTTTAAAAGGTTAATTCTGGTTGTGAAAGTTCACATAATGTGACAACTATATAAATATACAACTATATTTAAATATATCTTTTATGCAATTTATGCACCCACTTCAAATGTTATCACTTGATTGAATGGGCATTATCAGTGGGTATCAGCTGATAGATATAGGCCAGCAAGGGCCTTCTACACCTACTAGTAGGCTCAGAATGCTGCAATACCAATAGAAAAGACTCCAGATGTTTTTACATTAATGTGACGGTTAGGTTTAGGGTTGGGGTAGGGGTAGACGTTAATAAAATACAATTTATGAGAAATTTAATAAATAATATAATAAATCTTGAAAACTTTAAAAACTTTCGGCCGCAGTCGTATGTGATCTATAGCTGATTAACCAGGTGGCTGGATGATTATAGCCTACTAGTAGGCGCAGAAGGCCCATACTGGCCCATATCTATCTGGTGAAAACCACTGATAATGCCCATTCAATTGAGTGATAACATTCGAATCAGCTGATTTATGCTTACCTCAAAAATATTTATTTATCTGGCACTGACTCATGTATGTATCCTAAGACATATTACCAGGTCTGTGAAGAGCAGGATGGGATGAAATGCTCACTATCTTTTCCTCCGTCACTGTCTCTTGCGATTCACTTTCATTCAGGGGAAGATCCAGATCCTCTATATATAAAAATGACAAATATTTAATGAATTATTTTATAAATCATATTGGTAACACTTTATTTTAAGTCACATTTCACTGTTTTAATAAATCATTCAATTTACGTCAGCTCAGTCCCTTATTTATCAGAGGTCACTACAGTGGAATGAACCTCCAACTATTCCGGCATATGTTTTACACAGTGGATGCCCTTTCAGCCACAACTCAGAACTGGGAAACATCCACACTCTCTCAAACAGTTCATCCAATTCACATATACCACATGTCTTTGGACTGTGGGGGAAACCGGAACACCCGGAGAAAACCCACGCAAACACGGGGAGAACATGCAAACCGTCCCAGCTGGGACTCGAACCAGTGAAGTTCTTGCTGTGAGGCGGCAGTGCTAACCACTGAGCCACAATGCCACTGTATAAACAAATCAGTAAGCTTAATAAACTACTAATTAGCTGCTTATTGACCTTATTCTCCGCCGACGAGCGGGCGCTGCCATTTGAATCTTTTTGGCTCGAGACTTCCGGTCTCATTCACTTCCATTCATTTTTAGACATTAAAAATAGCTCATTACGCTGCTTGATGTTGCAATTTGATATTTTCTTGTTATATTATTCTACTTGGTCTGTATAGTCATGCAAACATTTGTTTGTAGAGCAAGTAGTTTGACCGCTTTCTGCCGTTTATTATTCCTAGTCATTTCTCCCATAGGCGACTGAATCGGAAGTTCTAAGACAATCGCGAAAACAGGCGCACTTCCGCATTTTAGAATAAGGTCAATAAATAGTTAGTAAAGTAGAAGTTAGGTTTAGGTTTTGGGTAAAATTTGGCTTGTAGAATAAGATCTTATTATACTTTAAACAGTACTTTATAACTACTGATGAACAGTTAACATCTTAATAATAGGCAGGTAATAAGCTAGTAGTAAATCGCATGAATTGTAACCTTAACTAAAATGTTACCATCATATTTTGTATAAACACTAACCAAACATAATCATTTACATGAACACTTCTTCATGAACACATTTCAAAACAGAAGTTATATTTACCCTTGAAGCAATATGCATCGAATTTGGAGTGCAGGTCAGGAGAGCCGGTTTGGTTGGGAAACAAGTAAACTGTGTGAACTCCAGTCCTCCCTCCACCACACTGCTGCCGGGGGATATTGATGGAGTAACGCACACTGCGGTCAAGAAGCCAGCCAGCTCGACACTTATCAAAGCCTTGCTTCCAAGCTGCATACAGGTGTGCTGTGGAGGCCAGAGAAGCATTTTGGCCCTGGCAGTGAGCCACTGCCTCACCGTACGTGAATCCCTCGAAAGAACTTGCATGGAAAACTTGACCTGAAAATGGAACATTTGAGCGATTCAGTGTGCTTCTGTTATTCCAGTGAAAGGTGAAATGTTTAAGGGAAAAAATTCTTTATGTATAATTTTCTGTTTTGTTTTCCCTCCCAAAATGGATGTTGATTTATCTGCCCACCCTATGTCAACATAGCAACTTTTATATATGTATGTGATGCCTCCTACCCCTTAGTTTGTCCACATAGCAGTACACATCATAGCGTTCATCGGCAGGGCGCAGTCCATAAGACCTCACACCAGGAACTTGCTCCATATCACCAGAGCATTGGTGACGAGGAGACACGATGGGATACCTGCACAACCATTATTTACATAGTATATCATACTGTAGACAGTTCAGATCACTAGAAGGTTTCCAGCCTACTAATATTTTACTTCATACTTCAAAATTCTGAAGGTCAGATGTATTTAAACCAGTGGTGTCCAGCTTCATTGGCCAGTGTCCTGCATAGTTTAGCTCCAACTTCCTTCAACACACCTGCCTGGAAGTTTCTAGTTTGTCTCATAGATATATACATTAGATGTCGCCTACCCTGTTGTTGTCTATTGGAAGGAATGCATCAATAGAGCCGCCATTTTGGAACAGGGTAGCACTCCTTTGAAATAAATGCAGGACCAAGGTAAAGTGGAGGACTGTGGCCATCCAAAGCCAGAGATATACACATATATCTATGATCGGGAGTTTTCCTGGATGTTAGAATGCAATTATTATTTATTTTTTTTATCACGAAAATTTAAATTTTACATCACTTTTCTACATTGATGGATCAGTGATCGCACTGGCATTCCTGACAAAAAGCTTGTGTTTGTGTGTACAGAAATGTACTATCCACCCTCCCTGTTAAATTTGATATAATCATGTCCTGAAACACACCTCCTCTCTTGCGTTCACTTCTCTTACTGACAGAGGGAGCGATTCGTTTGTGAATGAATCTCCGTTATGAACGATTCCTTCACTAGCCGATAATAATACAAGTTTCTGGCACCTAGCATAAGCCGAGTATTTAGTGCTAGTTGGAGCTACTTTGCCTTATGGTGAATGCAGTAAGTGACTGTATTATCATTAATAACAACGTTACCTGTTTGGCACAAAAGTTCAGAACATACAAAAATGTAAAAAACTTAATCTTACCTATGAAATGTTCTGCCTTTGTGCTTTGTTTTCTTTGTTTGCTCATTACTACACTCGTAGACAGCGTTAAAGTCCCGCATCTTCACGTAATAACACTGTCTTGACTAGTGCGGTTGAATGACATTTGTCCTGGGAGCACTGTACCAATGTGGCGCCTCTATTGACGCATGCTCAGGGTCCCTATGCAATATCTAGTGTATATATCTATAGTATGTCTAGTAAGAGCTGGAATAGCTGGTTCAGGTGTGTTTAACTGTAGTTGGAAATAAAATATGCAGGACACCGGCCCTCCAGGACCAAGTTTGGAAACCCCAAAATTTAAATAATACAAAAGCATTTTAAAGTATATAAAACAGTTCAACAAAAAGTGAAGTTAGACTTCTGTGACGGATCGTACCGGACAGTCTGATCCGAGAGCCAGCCGGCATCACACTGATGATAACCAGCTTCATAGGCCGCCTGCAGCTGCTGAGCACTGGCAATGACTGCGCCGATACTCTTACACGCGAGCTGAGCCTCCACAAAGCCAAAAGGGTAACGACTACAGTTTCCACCACGGTAATGGAAGACCACACCTGTGCAGGAAAGCAGCAATTCATTGTCAACAGATTTGGATATGGTATATATGACACATGTAATTGACTTATTAGAACATTTCTGGAAACAATTCTCTCAGTTCGTAATGAACTTGCATTGATGCGTCGGTAGATTCGCGGGGATTTCAACATGATTTTGCACAAACCAAATTGTTGTCTACAATGATTCAGCCTGAAACATCATTAGTCCTCATCTGCTGTTATGATAAATTTCAGTATGCAAGATCATAAACTACTGACCTTATTCTGCGATGCGGAAGTTTGTTTTTATGATTGTTTTAGAACAGTGGTCACCAACCTGCAGGGTTTAGCTCCAACTTGCCTCAACACACCTGCCTGGGTGTTTCAAGTATGCCTAGTAAGACCTTGATTAGCTTGTTCAGGTGTGTTTGATTAGAGTTGGAGCTAAAATCCACAGGACACCGGCCCTCCAGGAACAAGTTTGGTGACCACTGTTTTAGAACTTCAGATTCAGTCACCTACAGGAGAAATGACTAGAAATAATAAATGTTAGAAATAATGGCCAAACTACTTACTCTACAAACAAGAGTGTAGATGACTTTACATAAAAAAAGAAAATTATAATAAGAAAATACCAGTTTGCAAAATCAAGCAGCGTAATGAGCTGTTTTTAACGTCTAAAAATGAATGGAAGTAAATGAGACCGGCAGTCTCGAGCCAAAAAGATTCTAATGGCTGCGCCTGTTCATACATGAAGAATAAGGTCAATACAAGAACCAATTTTTTTATTCATGGATTATATATACATACAATTAAGACCTATATATTAAATAATACCAAAAATTGATTGGTGTTTTCAAAGGTAATAAACACATTGGTTTCTTATATTAACACATACCTGTGGCAGACATGGTATCTTCGGTCTTATTGGATTGAGATAAACCGGATCCAAAGTCAGGGTCCTTTTCCACAGAGCTGGTTGGTGGCGAAGGGAGGACGTGGGAAATATCCAGTGCAGTGTATGGGTTCTCAACACTGGTGGTCACCGAAGGCTTATATGTTACAACTTCTCCCTGTACCTCACTTTCTGTTGAGGCAGGCTTAGAAATGACAGTATGGCTTTCTGTGATTGTGTCCACAGTCAAGACACCATTGTCACCATCTGTGGTCAGCTCTAGATCCAGTGGGAAAAAGCCTGAACCTTCATCGCCTGTTTCTGAAATAAAGAACATATAAACAATAGACACTTGTCAGTTCCAACCTCAATAACACAAATGGCTGTTTTCACATGTTGTTGTGCATTAACACCAGACCTTCCATTTAAAACGTAGCCATGGCTGTTTTTATTTAGGTTTAATCGAATAGGTTTTTAATTAAAATCTCTCATTTGTAGATTTTTTTCAACAAGTCATTCTTTCATTGATTTTACTAATGTGTTGTTTACTACTTCCTGTTGCTGAAAGTAGTTTGAATAAAACAAGAATAAATATGGGATATTTATCTAGCAAACTTTGATTGTGTAATTCCTTTATTTTCATAGTGTTATTTATTGCGCTGCTTATGTTTTAGCATACCACGTTGCTTGGCAGCACATTTCAGACACTCAGGCAGTTATAATCAGCTTTATATACAAAGAAAAAAGAAAGACTTTTGATTGATAGATAGATAGATAGATAGATAGATAGATAGATAGATAGATAGATAGATAGATAGATAGATAGATAGATAGATAGAGATTGATTGATTGATTGATTGATTGATTGATTGATTGATTGATTGTTGGCACTAAATGCCATGAGTGATGGTGGGTTGATATAATAGAGGAGTGATGGATCCTGATTCGGCTCAACTAATCATTTCATGACTTTAGACATGAAAATATCATGTCTACATTTTTTTCTTCTTTGGCTCTCGGCGAAGGCGGTTGCACTTTTCCCCCCTCCCTCCCATATCTCTCCTGGCTTCTCTTGTCTCATCTTATTGTATCTCTGAGCCACTCCTTGCCTTGCTCTCCAAACAAATAAGGAATTATGGATTTGATCAACTGGTCTCTAAACGCAATTGACACCATCTTTTTGACAAAAAGTCTGGGTTTGGGGGAGCCCAACTGTCCTGCCGGGATGATTTCAGTGTTTGATGTTTGATAAAAGTGGTCAGTATGGCTCAAAACCTCACCCAGCTGGCCGGTAGGATTGAAACAGTGGTGAGCAGGGTTGTTGGTACTGAGACTGTGACATTAGAATATATCCCAATATAGCAATATTCCAAATTGGAAAACATCAAGGAGAAGCTAGTGACTTTGCAACCTGATTTGGTCAGACCTGGAGACCAGTGACGGACATTAGATATCTGCAAAATTGGCAGATATTGACCCAAATTGAAAACCTTTTCTTCCTTTTTTTCGGCTTTCTTGCGACTCTCCTGCCAGACGGCCTCAGCTGGAGACAAACAGCTTCCCCCGGAGAACATGATAAAAAGACGCTCTGAATTCCTGCTTCCTGTTTCAAAGACACCTGTGAGATTCTACAGGCTTACACACACGCACACATACACATCTACAGATAGACAATCACTGCCTAACCCCCACATCCCACGCCTTTGTGTGCTTTTACCCACCGATGTGGATAGGCAGGTCTGTGACCAGCGCCCCCTGGCTTCAGGACCAGATGCTGCCACTTTTATCGGACTATATCCACATTCCCTGATGCGATGTTATGTCTATGTCTATGTGTTTTTGTGATGGGGATTTTCCCCTGATCTTACACTGCCCTACTTCAACAGCAGTCTGAGAGGTTTTTTTTTGCCTCCCTCTTGCCTAATGTATCTTATTTCCCCTTTCTAAAAGGTACCTCTCGTCTGACCTGTCTTCCCCTAAAATGTGGGATGTTTGCGTATGGTCGGGGGGGGGGGTCCAATTTCACTTCATATAAAAGCATCATCACATTACTTGGTGCATAAAACATTTTCGGTCACATCAAAACAGTAGTCATGCACATGGCTACATGTTACCTGCAGGCAGTTCTAGTGTTAATGAATAAAACAGTTGCAAAGAGATGCTTATGTAGACAGACAATCATAAACGATAAAGAAGGACGTGTAAAACAGATTTGTTTGTACCAGAGTAGCAGAAAGCATCGTAGCGAGAATCTGGATGGGGGTAACCGGTCTGATTGGGAAACAGATAGACGGTGCGCACTCCCAGCAGGCCTCCTCCACACTGCGGTCGGGCGATGTTGATGGGGTAGCGGACACTTCGGTCTGCCAGCCAGCCTGCGTTGCAAACATCCATACCACCTTTCCATGCCAGGTACAGCTGTCCTGTGGTGGCCAACTTGGCACCCAGCTTGGAACACTGAGCTTCAGCCTCCTCAAAGGTAAATTTGTTTGGGGAAGTTGTGTGAAACACTTTTCCTGCAAGATGAAATGGAACATTTTTAGGCTTTTCTGTGTTTTTTCAAATAAGGCGGTCAGTTTTCTGCCATTTCAAGCACATACCTGTCATTCTCTCAGCAAAGCAGTACACGTCATATGTCTCATTCACGTCTCTCACTCCGTATGTCCTTACTCCTGGAAATTCATATTTGTCTCCATAGCAAGCCTCTCGAGGATCATGAATAGGGTACCTTTATTGCGAAACAGATTTCCATATCATTTCAAACATAATCATAAAATGCTGGTAATTTTATAGAAAGAAATTACAGACGTAAAAAGAAAAATTCTGTTCATTTGTTAATCCCTAGTTTAAGTACTAAATATGTATAATAAATGCTTTTAGGTTGCTTTATGTGTAATTTTATTAAAATAAAAGACAACTAATTACCAAATAATTTAAGGTAAAAACGGCATTCACAGAAGAATGTAATAAATAAGGTTCATTCATTAATTTCTTTTCGGCTTAGTCCCTTTATTCATCAGAGGTTGCCACAGCGGAATGAAACATTAGCTTATCCAGCATGTGTTTTACACAGTGGATGCCCTTCCAGCTGCAACCCAACTCTGGGAAACACCCATACACTCTCACATTAACACACATCCACTATGGCCAATTTAGCTTAACCAAATCACCTATAGCGCATGTCTTTGGACTGTGGGGGAAACCGGAGTACCCAGAGAAAACCCACACCAACAAGGGGGAGAACATGTAAACTCAAATAGATTAGATCAGGGGTTCCCAAACCTTTTTGTATGAAGAGTCAAAACCCAAATAATAATGGGAGCCACGGGCCGAATGTGATTATATCAAACAATATTACACTAAAGTTGTCATGGGTACTTTGCAAATTTGTTTCAAAATAAATAGAAAACATTACTTTAAATCGTATTAACAAATGCAGTATAACATCTTAAATGATAACTTCAAACACAGTGGAGTTCAATGCTGAATACACTAGTCAAGCAGAAACGTACATTTAAATGTACATTTGAACAAAATTTGATTGATTTGCACTGTCATTTAACTGAAACATTTAATTTGAGTTAGCTTTTAACAATAAAACAAAATACGAACAAATAAAAAAGGGTTATATTAAATTTGAATTGACAGTCTCTAAGCCATCCCTGTTATTCTCTCTCTCCTCTCAGATGGGATCCCTGGCCAAATCAAAGTTTACTAAGCGCCAACTTAGGCTCACATGCGCTAGTTTGAGTATCTCTGCATTAGACAGACTTCAGATTTGAAGAGAGTCCAAATTAAAATTACTACTAGATGTCTATTAGATCTTTACTGACAGACCAGATTTAGCCTTGCTTTACCACAATGCATCTATCAGATATCTATCAGACTTCATTTAAACATATGCCATGCTTTTTGGAATGGTTTTCTGTGAATGAATTTGCACTGACTATATGCAAGAATTAAGGCTTGTTAAGTTTCCAATCTGGATCATTTGGCTTTCTATGTGTTCTGTCTCACTTAACATTTCAGGCCCGTAGCCAGCCTGGTAAAAGGGGTGGTTCCTTTTTTTTTTTTTTGCAGTTATATTTCTTATACTGTATTGTTGTGACATTTTAAGCACTATTTTTTGCTAAATTAGCTTTTCTGATAATCACACTTTTTGATGTACCAAAAATATTTCCTAAATATTTAGAGTAAAGAAATATGAAAAACATTTATTTTTAAAATACAAATTACATATATCATTAGAAAAATTGTTTCAAATAAAGAAGTAGCCTACTGTAAGAATTTAGTTATTTGAATAATAAAAAAATAAAACATAATAATAATAATAATAATAATAAAATTTAGAGCTTCACAATTTTTCTAGCCTCTCTTAAAAAAAATCATGGAAAACAACAATAGCCAAATTAGTATTAACAGTGATTATAATATGGTCTGCTTTTGGTGCTTCACATCTTTTTATTGGTCATTTTTTTATTTCAAGAATAAGCTCAGAGATTTATAATAATAGTTTCTTGTAAAATGTTTTCTCTATATAAAAATACAGTAGCGAACGATGACTTCTCTAACATCAGATTTTGTGTTTTCTCGCATAGCTGGATATTGGGCTCATGGAAAATATTTGTTAGCATTGGACAAAACTGATAAGCTGAAGACACACCGAAGCGACAGAGCATTCCGCTTGGTCTTAAAGCTTTTTTTCAATAGGTTATTTTCACTATTTAGGATAGCAAAGCAATCAAAACAGAACAAATGAGCTCATCTATGGGTCAAATTCTGGACCTTTGTCAGTGAGTGGTGGGTCTTCCGAACCACCCAAACGCCCCTGGCTACGGGCCTGCATTTGTATAAGCTGTGAAATTGGTTAATGCACAAGTTGTGAATATATCAGGACATTTTGTTTTCACTGACCTCACAGTCTGATCTGCAAGCCAGCCAGCATCACACTGATGAAACCCTTCATCATACGCCGCTTGGAGTTGTTCTGGTGTAGCAATCACTGCACTGTTCTGAATACACGCTGCCTTGGCCTTTTCAAAATTAAGAGTATATCGTGTAGTGATTGCACGATAGTGGAAAACAATACCTAGAAAAAAAAACATACACTAATTGTACTTCTCTGACAAAAAAAAGCACACACACAGTCATGAAGTAGCACACTTTTAGAGACATCTTAACACAAACAGTACCTTGTACTTGGACATCAACGATATCATGACTGTCCTCAATCCCCTGCATGACCTCACAGCGGTAAACTCCAGAGTCATTGGAATGGAGCTCAGTGATCTTAATAGAGGCGTCGGTGGGGGTCATGGGATATCCTACCAGTGTGATTCTATCCATATACCTCTTCTCAATGCTTACTATCCCTTCGGAGGCCACTAAAATGTTTGTGGTCTTCTCTTTAGTGACCAGACTCCACTTGATCCGGTGGGACAAGGGGGCGATTGTGGGGGCGCCAGGATCGTTGACTGTGTTGTCCTGGAAGTAGCAGGGCAGAACTAATGTGTCACCCATCAGAGGGCGGAGGGGAAGCTCATTGGGTATACTGACTCTCAGTGGGCTTTCAGGCTCTGTGATGACAAATACAGCAATGGAAAACACAAGCCCATGGAACACATACATGTATAGTAAAAATAGACAGTTGAGTGAATGAGGTGTTTATTAAAACAAACAATTCATTACATCATTTACAGAACGAATACGCACCAGTGTCAATGTAATCGAAAGAGGCCGTGGCTGAGAAAACCCACAAACACATGCTCAGCAAAAGCAAGGACAGCATCTTCACCTGCAGTTTGAGAGAATTTGATCACTGACATGTTTTTGGGCATACAGTTGTAGTCAGAATTATTAGCCTCCCTGAATAATTAGCCATTAGTTTATTTTCCCCCCATTTTCTGTTTAACCGATTCAACACATTTCTAAACATAATAGTTTTAATAACTCATTTCTAATAACTGAATTATTTTATCTTTGTCATGATGACAGTACATATTTTATTTACTAGATATTTTTCAAGACACTTCTAAACAGCTTAAAGTGACATTAATTAGGTTAATAATTAATTAATTAGGTCAGGTTAGGGTAATTAGACAAGATATTGTATAAAGATGGTTTGTTCTGTAGATTTTTGTAAAAAAAATATATATATATAACATAACTGGCCAATAATTTGACTTTAAAGTGGTGTTTGAAAAAATTAAAAACTGCTTTTATTCTTGCTGAAATAAAACAAATAAGACTTTCTCCAGATTTAAAAAAATATTATCAGACATACTGTGAACATTTCTTTGCTCTAAACATCATTTAGGAAATATTTAAAAGAGAAAAAAGGGGGGCTAATAATTCTGACTTCAATCTATACAGTGCTCAGCATAATTGGATACAGCCCATTTTGAAAAGGATTTTTTGCACTCAAAGATAGCCTGATGTGAGTGTTTGTTCAGTGAGTTTTACTTTATTAAAACTTGGGTCTTTAAATTGATGGTTAAACTATATTAGTGTAAATTTACGATACATGACTAGGGTTAAAAGATATTCCAAAGATTTATGTCTTTTTACAAGAGAAAAAAAAGATCATTTTGACTTATATACAAAATATCAAGAATCATTTTGTCACAAATGCATTTTACAAATTTTTTAAATACACCTTTTTTGCTCATCATGAGTCAATTATCTGAACCAAAATACGTAATACATAAAATCGTAATGTTTCAAATAATACTGCAAATACATGTTCTGTTTTAATTAAATGGTAAGACTTCTGCATCATTTATTCACTTATAATTTAAGTGATTTTTTTATAGCAGCTGAATATTCATCAGCTTCTTTAACACTGTTTATTATTTGATTTGATTTTGATTTGATGATTTTTAGGAAATTTTAACATGTAAAGAAAACAACACTACAAAATTATATTAAATAATAAAAATTACAATTACAAGTAAATAAATGCATGTACATAAACTTTCTAGGCATGGGATGATAACCAGTTTCAAGGTTTACCACGGTTTGGAAAAGTCAAGGTTTTAAAACTGCAAAATTGTCTGTTTTACCGTTCCTACGCTATATGTAAGGGGTTTTTTATATGTATTTTTTTAAATGTGTTGTAAAGTGTTTTTGATACTAATGAAGACAGCAAAGTCAATGATTTATTTGAATTATTCAGTCTGACATACTGCTCCAAAATATTATAAATGTTTCCTAAAATAAAATGTGTTTTGTTCAATGGGAAAAAGTTTTAATTTTTTAACCCAGACATGTAAAAAGAACTTTTGTTTTAGTAGTAATCAAAATACCACGATGTTGTGGTGTTATTAACCCAGGTTATCATACCGCCAGAAACTATGGCCCATGCCTAATGCATACAAAATAAAGATATCAAAACAATGGTATATTAATAGCAGGTGATACAAGTAATATGGACTTCATATCAACACCCTTTAGAAATCCTACAAACCAATTCCATATTTTGATTACAATTATTGCAACCATTGTTTAAAAGGAGATCTTTCTGAATTTTTCCAATAGTGTGAGCTATTATAGGTTTTGCACATTATAACCAGAAAATTAACAATTTCTAATCTGAGCTAGTACAAGAGCTTGAAACATGAAAAATATCTGGTATACAAAGTTTTGGACATTTGGAAGTATTCTGTTTTAATACCATGGATACATTTATTCGCCAGCTTTACTCCAGTCTTCAGTCTTACCCTTCAGAAATTATTAAGATAAGTATAATATAATTATAATAAGGTACATGAGAGGAATATTTATGAAGTGCAATGCTCAGAACATTTTATACCGAAACATTTCATAACAAAGCTTTGGTAAAATAAATGGTTTTTGCGAGAGAAACCCCAACATGTAATTTACAATCCCCAAAACTACCACAGGAATGATACAGTTCTCATGCCAGTTTAAGCTTGTCCTATCTGTACCAGGCAGCTTGAGAATTAACTTAGAGTCAATTACTGAAAATATGTCATGCACGGATAGAAAAAAAGATTGCTATTCCTCTACAGTTCACAGAGTTCTGGAGGGGGGAAAGTGCTTAAAATGTTTGCTTTACTTGACAAACATACATTTATAATCTTTGCCAGTGCTGGTCCGCTTTAAGGAGTGATGCTATATTTGTTTGACTTGCTGCAGAGCATTCAGTAACGCTTCTTACACACAGACTTATCTACACACATACCCGCCTATAGCAGACAGCCACTTATTCATAGCTTGAGAAACTAGAGCTTTTTAAACACCATTTCATAGCAGGTCTGTCCGCTCCCACCTTCAAACAGTGTAAAAAAAATGTGTGAAAGTGTGCATACATGATCCCTGTGACCTTTAAACCAGCCATTTTAACATCTGAGGTCCCTCAAATTACTTCTGTTGAAGCTAAAGTAGAAAAATTATGTCAAGTTATATTAAGCGCAGATAAAAAAACATTAACCTGTTTGGAAAAAGTCGGCAATGTTTCTGTTAGTGCTCTGGACTGTGTTTAGGGAATTGGGCAAAGGAAAAATGCAGATAAGATAAAATCAGTTGCCACAGTTGATTTTATGGGAAACAGGCTTAATGACTTATGGTGTTAGAATTTCCTTTTAAGTTAAAATGCAGTTTCCTCCAAGTATAAGCTTAAATGGGCATCATTCAAGTTGGAGAAAGCTGTGGAAAGATAAAGGAATGGAAATAATCGCTTTTCAAATGTGAAGCTGTAAATGATATGTGTGCTCTTGTCACACACAACTAAAGGACTGCAAGATAGCGATTAAAAACAACATTACTCATATAATGGTTGTCTGCTTATTTACACTTTTTTAGTTAAATGAGAAAACCAGCTACTGCTGCAATGCTAAATCTCAATGTGATTCTTTTAGATTAGTGGCTCCCAGTCTGTGACCCCCAAAATAACAATGCTAGTGACTCACGACCCCCAATATCCTCTGAAGTGGTTTTAAATATACAAACTTTGCATGCAACGACGCGCACACACCACTAGGCCCAAGTCTATTCTTTCTTTAATTTTGGAGAACGTCACTCTGAGACCTGGCTCCATAATTCAGTCATGGCCTTTATTTTTTATTTACGTTGTGTGCCGTAAAGGTGTCAGAAAGGTGCCATAAAGTCAGTCTGCTGCATCTGACGCTATTGCTGTGTCTTTAATATAACGTAATCACCTCAGGGATTGCTATCAAATAGAAAACAAAAATGTAAAGGCGGATGGCTTTTTAATTGCATGTTTATTTTTGAATTTAAATATTAACTAAATTTTTTTTCTTCTGTAGGTTATGGATAATATATGGTTATATTAATAGTTTAATAAAATTTATTTCATTTTTGGAAATAAACAGACCCCCACTCATTGTCTTGCGAAACCCCTGGGGGTTCCGACCCCCACTTTGTACTTGGTGTAAAGCAGTGGTTCCCATTGCTAAACAGAATTGTAAGTCATTTTTGGAAAACAAGTGCAACCATGTGAATGACAAATGTGACCATGGACCACAAAATCTGTCCTGAGTGTCAATTTTATTTGAATAAATAACATTTCCATTAATGCTTAGTTATTGTCATTTTTAAACTGGTTGAAAATCTGGAAAGCATGGCTTCAGAAAAATGAAATGTTAAGAAAACCACCTTTATATTCACCTTTAATGACCAAATAAAGTTCTTGGACATGCATATTACTAATATTAAAATTAAGTTCTGAAATATTTATGGAAATAAAAAATATATTAATAAAATGTGATCTTTACTTAAACTGCTAATGATTTTGGCTTAAAAGAAAAATCGAACATTTTGGCTATTTCCATGAATACACATGTGCAACATAAAACGGTCTGGGGTCATAGATGGTCAACAACCAAACTGTATGGTTTACAATAGCCAATCCCAGCATAATAACTGTATTTCATAAAGGAAATTAAATACAGATGAATGCCATGTGTAAACTTTCCTTACAGGTTACTAATTACTCACTCGCAAGTGGTTTTAAACCTTGTATGAGATTTATTCTTTTAAACATAAAAGAAGATAAAATCTTGGAAACAGGCATCCACTGCCTTCCTTGAGTGGAGAAAACAAAACTAATACGTAAGTTAATGGCTACTGGTTTCCAACATTTTCCACATATCTTCTATTGTGTTTAACTGAAGAAAGAAACACAAACACATTTTAAACAAAAAGTAAATTGGCACAGAATTTTACACATAACTTTGGATGGACTCTCCTTGTTCTTTTGCAGTACTAAAAATAAACCATTACAGTAAAAGTGTAGTAAACATGGTTTTGAAAAGTGGGTACTGTATTTTTTACTGTACAGTTTGTGCATGATATTAAGCATAGTGAGAATGCAGAAGGAAGTAAATTTTGAGGCATTTTCATTTATGAAGTTATTTGGACAATGTATAGGCTATATGCAAAAATTTACCTATATGTGTAAGGAGAGAGAATAAAAATTAAACCCTATCTTTCAGCATATGTTAAAAAGGACTTAAGATAGTAAGAAAGATAAAAAACAACAGTTTCTGATGCCTAAGCCACAAATGTCGCCTTTGAGGATCCTTGTACACTGTATTAACAGGTAATATGCAAACAAAAATATGAATGAGTCGCTTTCTGGAGTGTCATAAGCAGGTATATTAGCATCATATAATATTAGCATCATAAAATAACATTTACACCTGAATCATGCTCTCAGAAATGAATAACAAGCAACGTTGAAGAGTAACAAAACTAAGTTAAGTTAAAGCACCTCAAAGTCATAGTCATAATTCAATATATATGGGTTACTGGTAAATATAGTAAATTTTTCACGTTTATATGATAATGTAAGAGAATGCAGCAACGAGAATCAGCAACATATCACCAAATGCTCACATTTTAAAACGATTAAATCTGATTCATTTTAGTATCAAACTGTCAGACATTTTAATGCTATTATCAACACAATAGAAGTGAATGATTGATTGTTTAGAAGCTTCTTTCATCTCCCATTTCTAAAATACCTTAAAGTTTCTGTCTGTGCTCACCTGTATATCCAGCACAACCACAACATAAAGCAAACTGTACATCACCTGTATGATGCAGTGTCCTCCTGAAACGCGTATAGTCCTTGATTAGAGATGATTTTTCACTGATGGCACTTTCAATCCAAAGCCGTTATAAAAGTGTCACGTGTGCAGGGAAGTTCGCTTCTGGCAGGAGAAAGAGAAGCAGAAAGAAACTTTTCAGAAGGGAAACACGTTTAACTGGACAGGAGCTGGAAGGGGGGCTCGGGAATAAGAGGTGGGGAAAAAGGCACACATAAAATTTCCACGTATGATGTAATTTGGCAATACACAGAAGCTCCGAAACTTTTGTGGTTGACATGCGCAAATGCTGACGATATTTATGTCAACAGTCGTGATCGTTAGAGCCATACATCATCATAATCGGAGGGCACAAAGGATGCCTTTTAAGTGAGGTGAAATGTTAAAATGATGTCATATTTTCACTTGAGTTTTGTTATATTGGTTCCTTACCAATAAAATAAGCAAATTAAATTGGAATCGTTTATATGAACGATGTCCTTCAAATTAAAATGATAGATTCGTCTTTTTTTGGCTTTAAATGTGGAAACAATAGACACACATTTATTAAACCATGTTATTCAGAAATAATGATCGTTTTAAGTTGATCATATTTGTATTAATATTATTTGTACAAATCAAACATTATATTAACAAAATATTAGGCTACTATTAGCCTACTTTTTTACCATAATGAAACCAAAGTTCATTTTATTAAGACATGCCGAAATGCTTCTCATTTTATATTTTGTATATTTGTATTTGTTAAAAATACTGGTTGCCTTAATCAAAGCTGAATCAAATTAACAGTATGCGTCATTTGAACTTATTTTATAGTAAACTAACCTTAAACAGCTTGTGTTACTTATAAAATTAGGTTGGAACACAAATAACTTAGTTTACGAAGTTACAATTAGCTAAAAAACCTCTGCTGTCATAACTAATTGATATCCATATAATTTTTTTACAGTGTACAATACCACATTGTTAATTGACTTCATGATTTATTTCCTATTCTCTGAATTTCCCAAATGCTGTTTTCTTGGTCGCAAACATCCATCATATTAATTAGTGTTCTGGGGCAGCAACATTAACACCAGTGGAAAGCAGAAACACAAGGCTTCATTCAGCAGTCTGGCCCACCCCGTTGTTCCTCTCAAACTTCCCTCTCAGAGGAACATGACAACGTATCCCATTGAAGAGAGCCACTATTTGAGAACCTTGCAATGTCATAGGCAGAAGAATACAGAGTACCGAATAGAGAACGCTGTGTGCTTTCTTGCAGAAAAAGATGTAGTATGATTTTCATTTATTCCAGAAGGTGATTTAACTAATTAAATAAATAAATGAATCTCACCTTCTCCCAGACCATCCATCTCTCCATTATTGACCTGTTGATTGAGCTACAGAGAGGAGCAGTCATAAGCCTGCGGTTAAACCTAGGTTAGTTTAGGTTTAGATGGGAGGGACGTTCTCTCTGTTTCTTTTGGATGGTGATTAAAAACTGTAACTGAACTGCTTGGAATGAGCTTCAAAGAGGAGGTTCCCACAGTGAGTTTGTGTGAGAGCTTTGTCCTCACTGCTTTTATTCTGCAGTTTGTGTGTATGAAATGGGATGCAAAGGTATGTTTGAAATTTGCCCTGGTTTGTTCAACTGCTCAATTTAACCTGTGGCACTTTAAAGACATTTAAAGGAACACAATGACTTAAAACCACCTTCGAGTGCTACAAAATCTGTGAAATTTGTGGTGCAAAACCAACAACCAGGTAAAATTTAATAGAGTAAAAAAGATACAGTTAATTTACCCACAAACATTAATATGTTAACATGAGATATAAAGTAGCACCTTTACCCCCTTAGCAGGCACGTGCACACATAGGGCTCAACCTGTGCACTGCACATGCCTTTTTTAGTGTTGGATAGAAAGTGCCCTTCCAAAATGATCAAAAGTGCCCCCGCGACGCGACACACCCTCGGTCCCGCCCTTCAGTAGGTGCGCGACAACACCGCTCTTGAGTACGCGCGCGACAACACAGCTGATCAGAAGGCGCGCGACAACACCGCTCTTTAGTACGCGCGCGCTCTTTAGTACACGCGCCAACCCCATCTCCCACCAACCCCCCCCCCCCCCCCCCCCCCCCTCTTTTAAAAAAATGTAAAAGAATGTTTCCACAGTTCCTGAGGCTCCTATAAATGAGACCAAATTATAAAAATAAACACCCTTTAAGTATATATAATTTTTGTCCATTTCAATGGACATCAGGACAGAACTGTTGATTGCATATATGATTGCTAGTATATGATCTTGAAATTTGTTTTCAAAATCACAAACATTAACGTTGTAACATTTTTACTTTAATTTTAAGGTTTTTGTTTTATACAGTGCATCTTGTTAATAAAAATTTAAATTAAAAAAATAATTAAAAATGTTGTCTTCATCTTCCGCATCACTTCACATAATGTCCATATCTGAAATCTTTTCATCTTTTTCATCTTTTCAATCTTTTCATATATGCTCAAGTACTTCAAGATCTGTATATTCTGCATATGAACATGTTTCAACAATGAATTAGTAGGCATGGGCCGGTATACGATTCTGATGGTATGGTAACCTTGGATAAAAATATCACGGTTTTACGATATTGGGATCACTGTGTTAAAATAAATATTTTTACATGTCTGAGTAAAAAACAAAACTTTTTTACTTTTTGAACACAATATATTTTATTTTGAGAAACATTTATTATATATATACATATTTATATACACACACACACACACACACACACACACATATATATATATATATATATATATATATATATATATATATATATATATATATATATATTAGGGGTGTCACGATTTTGATTTTTAATCGAAATCGATCGAAATTTATGCTCAATTTCGATTATCGAATCAAAAAATAGAATCGTCTATGCTGCCACGCCCCCATGTCACGTCAGCTTGGCTTGCCAAGCGGGAAAAAACAGGCTTGTTGAAGTGCTTGTTAAACTGCAGAAGCAGGAGACCCGTCGACAGAACTTAAACCCTCTCCTCTTTCAATGAAGTTGCTGGTGTGTAAGCATTTTGGATTTCCAGTGAGTTATGTTGACAATGTGTTGTCGACAAAAAAACACAGTTTTGCTAGCTCTGCTATGTACGTATTACGTACGGTTCGTCCGATAGACAACACCGGCATTGCGATCCTCCGCCCGCCCCCGTTGCAAATCCGCTCGCGAAAAGTACACACTCAGGCCCTGTTTACACTGTGTTTGTTTTTAAATGGCATTGTAGAACGACAACGATTTGACATCCACAGTGGCGTGTAGCATTTCTGAGCAGCCCTCCTTCCTCTCTACCTCTGAAACATCACGTGACCACACAGACACAGACGCACACACAGCTTGAGAGAGCAGGTCCAGGCAGTCAGAGGACTGCTTCAATCTTTCACTCACTTGTACTTTGTCATTTTAGCGCACACCTCAGATACTGTTGGCTGGTTCCTGTTGGTTGTGCGTCTTTTCTACCGACGCCATTATAACGACACAGATCACTGCCTATTCACGAGTCCCGAAGAAAAAGTGATTGACAGGTGGTAATTATGTGTGTATCTTGCCTTTATTCATTTACTGTAGGATTTGTTTATCGGTTAAACAAAGACCATGCAGGTCTGGTAGTTTAAACGGTAGGCTACAAATAATTAATTGGTCATTAATTAATTATTCATAATCGAATCGAATCGTGCCTTTTTGGAGGATTTGGAGGATCGTGACACCCTTAATATATATATATATATATATATATATAAAATGTCATTTGACAATATTAAACACCGCTGAGTCAGTTGGTATTTCTGTGTGGAGTTTGCATGTTCTCCTGGTGTTCGTGTGGGTTTCCTCTGGGTGCTCCGGTTTTCCCCACAAGTACAAAAACATGCGGTACAGGTGAATTGGGTAAGCTAAATTGTTCGTATTGTATCTGTGTAATTAAGTGTGTATGGATGCTTCCCAGTGATGGGTTGCAGCTGGAATGGCATCCGCTGCGTAAAACATATGCTGGATAAGTTGGCGGTTCATTCTGCTGTGGCGACCCCAGATTAATAAAGGAACTAAGCTGAAAAGAAAATGAATGGATCATTTTATATACATTTCTGTTACACTGAATGACTTTATATTGAATTCACTGATAGAATAAATGCCTGTGCTTCAGTAAGCAATAGCCTTGCAGGGAAAGAATAGCCTATTTGTCAGTTTAAAGCGATCAAGTTGACGTTTGGTGATTGACGTTGACAACATGCTTAGTTTAGCCTTCTGGGACCTGTGGACATTTCGCTGTCCTGAAGGGCTCTTTTCATCAAAAAGGCCAAACACTTGAAAGACAACAGTCGTTCTCCTCACTGACAATCTTATTTCTATAGAGGAAGAGAAAACTCGCAACTCAAGGGAGATACAAAAGCTTCTTCACAAGCTTGTGTGAGGAAAGAGCATTCCTCAGGCTAGCAGCCACTCCAGGTGCTTTCTGCCATTCATTGTGGTGCCAATACAATAAAGAAAAAGAGAGACTCTATAGTACTGAAGGAGACTAACTCACATTGCACAAAATTTTACAATACAAAAAGCAGAAAATTCTGTTATTAATTACTTACCTGTATGTTGATTCAATTCCCTTGTGACCTTTATTTATCTTCTAAACACAAGTTAAGATATTTTCGATAATCAGAGAGAGCTCTCTGACCCTCCATACACAGAAATGGTCACAAGATCCAGAAAAGGAACCAAGAACTTCCTCAAAACATTCCATGTGAATTCAGTGGTTCAGCTGTTATTACACCAAGCTCAGTGAGCAATTTTGTATGCCAAAAATAAAGTGTAAAAACAATTTGCCATCCTTCCACATCAGATCAGGGTGAGTGTTTACTACGGGCAATATGATGCTTCCTGTTTAGAGTCAGTGGAGTTGCCTGGGATTTGAGAGGTTTTATTGTTTATTTTGATGTCATGATTGTACAGTTTCTCGCTGTTTCTATTTATTTTTGGTCTAAATAATCAAAATGGCAAAATTAATATTGAATAATATGCTAATAATGAACAGGAAGCAGTCGGATTTATCACTTCTTTGGCTCCCTTAACAAATTTCTGTTGTTTGGTCTGCGCTAATTGTAG